TTAATTAAAAACGTTACAAAATTTATGATTTTCATTCGAGTATACGTACAATAAACAAAAATTATATTTTCATCATTAGAAAAAAAGAAATTTACGAAATTACTCATCTCGATCTTGAAATAAGTTTAACATCCACCCCCAGGTACAAAAATATTAAATCTTTGAAATTATATCAATTAATTAAAAACGTTACAAAATTTATGATTTTCATTCGAGTATACGTACAATAAAAAATTTTTGTCATTATATTTTGTCATTAGGAAAAAAGAAATTTACGAAATTACTCATCTCGAACAATCACTAATTTGATTTAAAATAACAAAATTTTACAATAATTCGCGTATATATTTCGTTTGAGAATTTTTCTGTAATGTTGATTTACGATGTTGTAATAAGTCGAATTATTATTAACGAATATACGATATTACACTACGACGTGCAAAGAATCGTTAATAAGGAAGGGTAACGTTCATTAAGTAACGCTGCATGTATAGTGAAATATTAATAATATCGAAGATCCTTTATATAAACGTGTGTATGTATACCTTACAATGTTTTCCTAAATTAAGTAGAATGGGAATAAATGATAGCACCCATAATATAACTATCTCAGGCAACGTAATTATAAGCACCCCCCATAGGGTTTTCCAACAAAATATATTCTAACGATATGTTTATAATGAATCATAAGAGATAATTCAGATAATTCAGATAATTTAAATAATTTTACTAAGCTTTTATCTAATTCTAATCAATATCAACTTATCAAATACTATTTTATCCTATATATATTATTTTTCTTTTTCTTTTTCTTCTATTCAATTAACCTAAATGTCAATTAACCAAACAAAAAAAAGCCAAATGTATTTTTTTTTTATTTTAATCCGTGTCCTCATTGGAAAATTTATTTATTACAAATCGAATGTTTCGTTTGTTTCGTTTAAAAAATTCATTCTTTCAATTATTTCATGTTAACAAATTTTTTAACGAGGTGGTGTCATTAACGAACCACCATATATACTCCATTCCCCTGTCTCCCATAAAAAAAAAATAATTAGATGGTTTATAAATAAATAAATAAACAAACATTTACTTACCGTTGTTTATTCTATTTCTTATTCTCAATAATTTCAAAAAAAATAACTTAATCGACGCAAAATTTTGTTCGATAACACAACAATTATTTATTTTTTTTATATATATATATATATAAAAAACAAGGTAACATTTTGAGTGGAAACAAGGTTTCGAGTTTGTAACGTAAATTGTACACGCGGTGGGTGTACCGTGTTAAACTAAATTTGGTGGGCTCTGTTAATATATGAGTTTGACAGCCCTATTTTATACATACAAACACATACACATAATATATATGTATTACACGTATTTAAATAAACGTACGAAAACAACATAGAAGTTTTATCGATCGAATGTTGAAGAATCATTGTATTATTATGTGAATTACAAAGACAAAATTAAATTAAATATATATTATATA